AGCATGAGAATCTTACAAATTAATTTACAGAAGTGCAAAGCGGCAAGCTCATTGCTAATTGAGAATGCCAATAAACTAGGTGCAGACATTCTCCTCGTACAAGAGCCCTATACGATCAATAATAAAATTGTGAGATTTGGGGGCTGGCGGATATTGGCGAAACAAGGGGGAAAAAAGCCAAAGAGTGGGATTATTGTTAGGAACGACAACATTGACATTGCTCTGGTCCCTCATCTTTCAAACAACATAATTACAACTGCTGTTCTACATCAGGAGCCAGAGATTTACATCATGAGCGTTTACCTGGCACCTAGTGAAGACGATACCAAATCCATAAAAAATCTAGAACAAATTCTAAGAAAAATAAATAGTAAGACCTTAATAGTAGCAGGAGACTTAAATGCAAAATCACCTATTTGGTTCAGCCCCAAGGAGGATGAGAGGGGAAGACAGTTAAATTTATTAATGGAGGAAATGGACCTGGTGCCGGGGAACATGAGTACTATCCCCACATTTTTTACTGGCTTCGCTGAAGGATGGAACGACATATGCCTGATATCAAATGACTTCATGCATAGGATTAACTTCTGTGAAACCCTTACAACTACTACTGCCAGTGACCACAGAATTATTTTAACTGAAATAAAAGGCACAAAATTTTGTAATAATGATACAGGCAAAAGAATACAAAATCTCACAAATTGGGAGCTCTTTCGTGAAAACTTCGCAAGAAATTGGAGAAATTTCACCTTCAAAACAACAGAAACAACTGAGGACGTAGACAGCTATGTGGATCATGTAACAAGTGCAATTCATTTGGCTGGCCAACAAGCAGCCAGGACTAAGAAAACAGAGGTTAAAAAAACGGTTTGGTGGACAAACGAGCTGACAGCACACAAAAAGATGGTCAGAAAAATCAGGAAAAAAATGGAAAGATCGAGAAACAAAGAAGAGGAAAAAAGAATGAAAGAAATTTACAGAACAACACTAAAAACCTACAAAAAGCTGATAAACAACACACGAACGAAGGCGTGGAAAGATTTTTGTAGTAAAGCCCACAAAAATGACCCATGGGATATTCCTTATAAGGTGGCTTTTAATCGAAATAAGAAAACTCAAATCCCAAACCTCCTGGAATGGAACAATGATAACAACAATCCGAATATTACTGAAAACATCCGGAACATCCTCAAATTTCATTTCCCGTCTGACAACAAAGAAGAAGATAACGACAAACACAAGGATATAAGAGGAAATCTAAATAAAATAAGCTCAACAACAGACGACGTCCCATTCACCTTCAGAGAAGTGCAAAAGGCAATTGAAACCCTGGCCAACCGGAAATCGCCAGGCCTAGACAGAATAACACCAGAAATGATTAAAGCCGCTTTCAGTGAAATTCCTATTGCTTTCGTTTTTTTTATTCAATGAATGCTTAAAGTTCAATTACTTCCCCAAAATATGGAAAAAAGCTAATGTCAAATTCATCCCTAAAACGGATCATGCCAGCAAACCGGAGGAATTCAGACCACTTAGCCTCCTCCCAGTGATGGGAAAGTTAATGGATAAACCGGATAAACTGGCACCTTAACAACAGCAACAACACAAATAAAAAACAATACGGTTTCAAACAGGGCAGATCCACTATAGACGCTGCACTGGAAGCAAAAAAGTTCATCCAAGGCTCATGGAAAGAAGGAAAACATGCCCTACTCATTAGTATAGACTTTGAAAAGGCATTTGATAACCTATGGTGGCCAGGGGTTTTCAAAAGGTTAAATGAGGTAAAATGCCCAAAAAAACTTACTGGCAACATTACAAAGTTATCTTACTGATAGAACAGCCGGCTATTACACAAGTAACATAACTGTGGAGATAAAAATAAACAGAGGATGCCCACAGGGCTCAAGGAGTGGCCTAGGGATCTGGAACCTCGCCTTCGACAGCATGCTTAATGATTATGAAGAAAAAGAGCATACCAAGATCCAGGCCTTTGCAGATGACGTGCTGCTTATGGTTGCACATAAAAACCGCGACAGACTTAGAGAAGAGGCTAATAAGGAATTAAAAATAATATCAGAGTGGAGTAAATCCTATAAACAGCCCATAAATTACAAAAAATGCGAATTGCTGGTGTGTATGAAAAAACGGGGACAGGGTCAACTCAAAAGGCAACTGGGGGTATACATAGATGGCTATAAAGTTAAAAACGTTAACCAAATGAAGTACTTAGGAATTATTTTTGATAGGAATATCAACTGGCACGACCACGTAAATAACATGTACAAAAAAATGGTTCAAAAAACAAACCTCTTGTCACACATCTCAAGAAATGCATGGGGATTGAGCTTTAGAAGCAATAGGCTAATTTACCAAGCCTCAGTGGAGCCAGGTATTTTATACGGAGTCCAAATATGGCATGAAGCCCTAAACAATATTCACGTAAGGAAGATGTTTTTATCGATCCAACGGAGAACAACCATTAAAGTCTGTAGGGCTTATAGAACAGCACCGACAGATGCTCTCTGTGTTTTGGCCAACCTACTCCCAATACACCTTAGAGCGAGGGAAGTGGTGTGGAGATGGTATACAACAAACATCGACCTGCAGGACCTCAATGAAGAAACAATAAAACAAAATATCAAAAACGGTATCCTCCCACCCAATAGTGAGCAATGGATAGAGAACATCAAAAAGCACAGCATAGAGAAAGAAGAAAAGAACTACAAACAGTTTATCCACCCTACTGACGAAAACAAGTACAAAATTATCTTCGATATGACAAACACTAAAAGTAAAAGCTCAAACTGGATCATCCACACTGATGGCTCCAAGACAACTACTGGAGTTGGGGCAGGCATTATCATCACAAACAATAAAGGTAAACATGTCTATCAGGCGAGCCTAAAAATGGCTCCTCACTGCACCATAACCCAAGCTGAGTTGTGGGCTGTCAACAGGTCATTAGTCCATTAGGACTAAACACATAGCAATGTCATGGGCGAACATCTATGTGAATGATTATATCCCGCTGGTAAGATGTTACCAGTGCTGCGGATATAATCACCTCTCCACCAGCTGCCCACAGAAGCAAAAATG